GTTGGTTCTGCTTCGTTAGCTACTGATTCTAAGTTTTTTAAGCTTCATGATGTTTTGCATGTCCCTGGTCTCTCCTCTTCTTTACTGTCTGTTCAGCGCTTTGCGAAAGACAATAATGTTTTCTTTGAGTTTCACCCACTTTGTTTCTATGTGAATGACATTTTGACAAAGAAGGTTCTTTTTAAGGGGCATGCATCTGGGGATCTCTACAAGTGGCCAACGTCTTCTGTGTCTCCTACTCATTTGTTGCTGCACGGTCCTCTAAAGTTTGGCACAAGCGACTGGGGCATCCTCATTCTAGAGTCTTACGTCAAATTTTAGCGTCTTTGTCTGTTAGTAAATTTAATTCTAGTGATCTTCCCAATGTTTTCCGTCTTGTCAATTGGGAAAATCTTCTCATTTTCCATTATCTCGTGTTGAAACTACTAGTATGCACCCTTTAGAATTAATTTATTCTAATATTTGGGGCCCTGCGTCGTTACTTTCTGCGAATGGCTTTAAATATTTTGTGTTGTTTGTGGATGATTATACACATTATATGTGGTATTATCCGATGTGTGCTAAATCTCAATTATATGCCATATTCGATAAGTTTCGGTCACTGGTTGAACGTTCCTTTTCTCGCAAGATTATTTCCTTTTAATCTGATTTAGGGGGAGAATATAAAAAGCTTGGTTCCACTCTTTCTTCTCTGGGTATTCGCCACAGGCAATCATGTGCGTATACTCATGAGCAGAATGGTCGAGTGGAACGCATGCATCGTCATGTTGTTGAGACAGGACTGTCTTTGATGGCTCAAGCATCTGTTCCTTCTCGTTTTTGGAACTATGCGTTTGAGACTGCTGTCTATCTTATAAATAAAATGCCTACTCGTGTTCTGTCTGATGAGTCTCCGCATTTTCGTTTTCATCGTTCTCCCCCTTCCTACTCCTACTTGCGGATGTTTGGTTGTTTGTGCTTTCTTGTCCTTCGTCCATATAATCGCAATAAACTACAGTTTCGTTCGTCTCCATGTGTCTTTCTAGGTTATCCTCCGTCTTATCGTGGCTATCGTTGTTTGGACACTAACACTAACAAGGTTTTTATCTATCGCCACGTGTGATTCGATGAGACTGTGTTTCCCTTTGTTTCTCCTGTTGCCTCGCAGGTTGCTAGACCATGTTTCGAACCTTGGCCTACTGGACCGATTGTGACGAGCCGAGGTGGTGGTGTCTCGGCTACGGCTGTTGATGACGCTCGGCAGTCTGATGAGCCCATCTCGGCTTCTGGCGATGGTGACGATAGCGGTCCCGAGCAGTCCGCATCGAGTGAGCGGACTGTCTTGGACCAGCAGGTTGAGCAGCGCAACAGGCCGCGTGGACGTCCTCGGCGAGTCACTCCTCCTCCTCGGTCGCATGCTATGAACACTCGTAGCTCGGGTTCGCATCAACATGTCGCCTTAACCAGTGTTTCTACCATAGTGCCTGAGCCCACCTGTTACACTCAGGCAGTCAAATCTCCTGAGTGGTGTGATGCGATGGACGCAGAGTTCAATGCCTTGGTCCATAATCATATGTGGCGTCTTGTTCCGTTTCAACCAGGTATGAATGTTGTTGGTTGCAAATGGGTTTTTAGAACCAAACAGAAGGCCGATGGTTCAATAGAACGTCATAAAGCTAGGTTGGTGGCCAAGGGTTTTAAACAGGTTGCTGGAGAGCACTTTTTTGAGACCTTTAGTCCTGTGGTTAAGCCCACTACGGTACGCCTTCTCTTATCTTTAGCTGTATCTCGTGGGTGGACTATTCACCAGTTGGATATTCACAACGCCTTTTTAAATGGCGAGCTAGCTGAGATTGTTTATATGTGACAACTGCCTGGTTATGAGGACAAGTCATTAACTAATCACATGTGTTTGCTTCAAAAATCTCTATAAGGGCTTAAACAGGCTCCGCGTGCTTGGTTCACAAGATTGCATGATTTTCTTGTCTCTGTGGGCTTCTCGCCTTCAAAGACGGGTGTGTCTCTTTTTATCTATTCTCGTGACAATATTCATCTTTATTTCTTGGTGTATGTTGATGACATTTTGATTATGGGTTCTGACTCAGACCGTGTTACTGCTCTTATTGATAAATTAGCACTTGAGTTTAAGGTTCGTGATATGGGTGTGTCTTCTTTCCTTTTGGGAATTGAAACTGTCCCGTTATCTGCCGGTATGTTTTTATCACAACAACGGTATATGAAGTATATTCTCAAACGTGCTGGCATGGTGGACTGCAAACCAGTAATCACGCCCGTCTCTTCTGCGAAAATCACCGACGAAGTCGCTATTCCCTATGGCGATCCTACACAGTATAGGAGTCTTGCAGGTGTCTCCAGTATCTTACGATAACTCGCCTTGATTTATCTTATGCTGTTAATCTCTTGTGTCAGCACAAGCATGCGCCCACTACTACAGACTGGGCCTCTCTGAAAAGAGTCATGCGGTATGTCAAGGGCACCCTGAATCTTGGTCTGCGAATTTCTCAGTCTACATCTATGGATATTCACGCCTATTCTGACTCATATTGGGCTGGCGATCCAAATGATCGCAAGTCTACTAGTGGCTTTGCTGTGTTCTTGGGTAGTAATCTTATATCTTGGGTATGTCGGAAGCAACGGACTGTGGCATGTTCTTCAACTGAAGCAGAATACAAGGGACTAGCTGATGTATCTGCAGAGGTTACATGGCTTGTTTCCCTGTTAAACGAAATCGACATCCCTCCTGCATCTCCTCCTTGACTATGGTGTTAAATAGCCTAGGCATACAACCAAACCACCACAATCTATGAGTAGTTATTGGACCTATTCTAATCCTACAAAGCAGGAAGAAATAATCCATACAATAGATTAAAACATACGTAAATATATTATGTCTTCTTACTACTTACTTATGTGCCAATCCAGTGTTTCATGCCCACACGAAGCACATTGAGATTGACTATCATTTTGTTCGCGATAAAGTAGCTAAAAAGGAGTTAGATGTGCACTTTATTCGTGTTAGACTAGGACTCTATCTAGTATCTATATATTCGCATTCTGTACTCTCAGACATTATTACTGAACACAACACTTTTACATACACTCTCATCATTATATAGGGTATTTCTATAATTTGAATGCTTACGTCATTTATATTTCTAAAACGAACCAAAACCTAAATATAATTCTTCAAATATATTCATTCCAAGAACAAAACAATGGAATATATATAATTCATGTTCTGTATCTTGATTTTCGATTCCCTATTGGATATTATTCTTCTTCCTCCAAACTCAATTACGTAAACCAAAGGCTACTTTGTGTGGAATATTTTTTCCATTTCCATTTCCTACATTTCCATTTTGTATACTCCATACCTTTTCTACATTAAAAACAAATAGACCGAATTGTCTAAATGGATTTTTTTTGTCGGCCCACCCAATTTCCTCTAATTCCAAATTTCTAACCCTAACCCTTTATATACTCGTTACCATTTCCCCCATCTACCATCCCGGCCTCCCCCTCCCTCTCTCTCTCTCTCTCTCTAAGCACCAAAATCCTCTCTCAATTTAATCTTCTCTCTCGCTCTCAATATCTCTTAACTCTCGTCTCTCGATTGATAAACAAGGTTTCCTTCAATCGTCATTGGAACTCCTTAGATTGAGAAGGTAATCTCTAGTCTCATCCCCTTTGCTAGCTATAAGACTTGATTTTTTTTTTCGTTTTGTTTTTTTTTTTTGTTTTGTTTTGCTTTGTTTTTTTGTTTTTTTTTTTGTTTTTTTGTTTTGTTTTTTTTACAAGTGTAGATGTATGTTGTCCATTTGAACAACCAACAAAAAAAATTGTTTTTTTGTAAAGAAATTGAAATGGGGGAAAATATGGACAAATTTATTTTGAAACATATTTTATTGAATACATATTCTATTTTTCCTAAATTTTTGATACTTAATACACCCGTATTTACAAACTCGTCCACAATTAAATACGAGGCAGAGAAAAAAAAAACACTACTAAAATTCAAATAGCTTTTGCGCTATTTTGATACAATCCTCTCTCTCTCTATCTCTATCTCTATCTCTCTCTCTATATCTCTCTTTATATATATACTTCTAAAAAAATTTCAGGTTTTCATTTTCATTAGAAAGCTATTAAATCTGTTCAAATCTATTTATTTATCAATTTATAAAATATGAAACTAATAGACATTAAATTTTTTTCTTCATAAAGCAATAAATATGTAGTGACAATTGATAAAAGTATCAAGTAATATTGTAACTATGTAGGTTGTTATGGCCTTGTGGTTAGGTAGATGGGATAAAGTTAGAAATAACAGTAAAACAAGTAAACGAAATATGAATGTGATAAATGGGATGATGGGATGATGGATACTCAGTAGAGATAGTGGCAAATAGCTACGTGGAAATAATTTTATTTTTTAAAATTCTTATTAGCAGTTAATTAAAAATTAAATATTCAGAATGTGATAAATGGGATGATGGATAGTAAGTAGAGATAGTGGTGTGGAATGTAGTTCTTGATTCTTAAAAAAAATGTAGAGATAGTGGAAAATAGCTACGTGGGAATAATTTTATTTTTTAAAATTCTTATTAGCAATTAATTAAAAATTAAATATTCATTTATTCTCATAGATAATTCATTTTTTTTAGTACTTATAGATAATTAGTTAAAAACAAAAAAAATTAATTCTATAATAATTGACATACTGAAATTAATCAATGATGTAACACTAACAATATTTATTGGAATCTTTTTGTAATTTGTATGGCTTTTATTCCTTTTGTACTGACATTCAAATTTCTTATGGATAATGTGAATGATATTAGATAACAATTACATTCAAATTTCAAATTTCTTATTCCTTTTGTACTGACATTCATATTTTTTTAAGGATATGAGTTTGGTATAAATATATAATTAATTTTTTTTTTTCTATTTTCAGATAACAAAAGCTAAGGAAGTTTAATCTAAGACACACAATCAAGATGTCATTCCCTACTCCTAAGCGAAAGCGCCATATGCCACAACCAAATTTGAATCAAGATATTATCACAGAAATCCTTAAAAGGCTGTCTGTGAAGTCTCTGCTGCAATTTAGGTGTGTTTCAAAAGCTTGGCGTGATTTAATCTCATCTCCAGAATTTGTCAAATTGCACCTACATTTTCAATCGAAAAAAGATAATAAGGTCATGACTTATAGCAGTGCAAATTGGATTTCTAGCTATATGTCATTGTTTTCTATTACAGAGAATAAGCAATCATCATTTCGCAAGTTTATTACATATGACGGCTTGGTCTTAATCCCTGAAGGTGGTTTCGAATTGTTGGGTTCTTGCAATGGGCTCCTTTGCTTTCGTGCTAAACCGTATAGAATAATCATTTGGAACCCATCATCAAATGGAAACATCAAGACAATCCCAGATGTCTGGCAGTTGGGCAACATCAGCATTTTTGGATTTGGGTACGATGAGTGTAATGATGACTATAAGGTTGTTTATGCTTATTATGATGGCAATGGTGATGAGACTGTAGTCTTGGTTTACAGTTTTAAGCATGGGTCATGGAAAAGAAGTGAAAGAGGATTTATTAGTGGGTTTGTTCATCCAAGAATTGCTGTGTTTGTGAGTGGTAATCTCAACTGGTGCAACAACAACTTACATGAAAGTGAATGGAATTGGGATATAATTTATTTTAACTTAACCACTGAAACTGCCAAACCTATGGCGTTACCAAGCCATGAACATGCAGCCGCTATTTGTATAAGTGAATCAAGAGGATTGCTTTTTGCAGGTTTTCATCACAAACATCAAATGGAAGTTTGGGTGATGAATGAGTATGGAGTTGAAGAATCTTGGACTAAACTAGTCCGCATTTCAAACTTACCAGTTCATCATCCAGTTTCCCGTGGTTTCGAGAACACTACATACATGGCTATATGTAATTCAAAACTTGCAATTGCACATGTTTCTAAAAATGGGGATATTCTAATGATGGTTGGACATCAGCTAAAGCTCCATAGGCCTAATGCTAAAGGGGGAAAGAATTTTAATATCCCCTTTGGTCTTGGTTATATGGTAACTAGTTACGTGGAGACCCTTGTTTCCCCGGCCATGATTGGTCTGTAAATGATGATAGATGAAGTGGGCTACCAGGCGGCCAACAACAACAACAATGATTATTGTGTTATTGGTATTTTAGTGTTGTGAAGTAAATTTTACTAGTTATCGCTGTTGAGAACTATTGATTTGTGTGAATGCAAAAAAGGTAAGCTATCCTAGAAATGATTATAAGTTAAATTTCATTTCATTTTAAAACGTAAGACACACTGTTTTCGATATATATGTGAAGCTTTGTACTCTTGGACTAGACGTATTCTCATCTTAACCCCCAACACATCGTGTTAAGGGTTATGACTTTGAGCGATTATATTATCAATTGTAATTTTGAGGATAGAAAAATGGAGACAAAGATGAAAGCTTGAAACTTGAATATGGGGTAAATTTCTTCCATAGAGTGGGGGTTGTAATTTATTGACTATTGATATGATTTCTCCACTACTTCCGGAACAATTGTTGGAACATCTACTCCTTTCAGACCAACTTCTTTTGATCTCTCTATTCCTTCCAGAGTAACTTTAGCTTGCGGCTCCCTTCAACCATTGACATAGAAGAATGTCCAGGAGCCACTGTTAGGCTTGCCTCATGTTCAGCTCTGGAGAGATGGGTGGCAGCTTCTAGATTTCACTGATCATAATTATCTCTGTCATCGTCATGGATAGAAGGCCCTTATTCTTTAGCTATTTTCTTCCCAATCAACTTAGAACCTTTTTGGGTCAAGAATTCTTCTAAGGGACTAAATTTATAAATTTTTGAGTGCATTTCATCTCCAATTATGTTGTAGACTGCGTCTTCCATTACACGCATATTTATAACACATTCTTAACTATATTTTACTCCATACTTTAGCATATTTTGTGCATAAAGTTCCCCGAATCATGTGTGCATTGAGACTTATTTGTGTGCTTTATTGTCTTAGGCATATGATTGCAATATATTTCTCAATCAAATAATTACTCGGAGTAACGAGTTATCGATGCACAAGGAAGTGGGGTGTATCAAGCACTAGCTACTAATCTATTCTTGTGAAGCTAATCCTAACAAAAGACATGGATGATTGAGTGAAACTAATTTAAAAACAAAGTGTGCAGGTTTGGGAAAACAGTAGAGAGAGAATGAGATTCCTGGAATTCAAGTATTTAATCATCTAGTGCCAATCTTATGAACAATATTAAATCTGGGTTTAAACAAGTGTGAGAATGCCAATAGGAGAAATAGTTACTCCCGTAATCTCTAACCTAAGTGAATATTGTTTTCCATCCTGTCAAATCAAGATACAACAAAACAACACAAAGAACTACACCAAATATTCCCAATAGTAATCACAATTTCAACAATTAATCAAGATCTTTATACAAGAAACATGAATCAAAACCACTTTCCCTGAGGATCAAATCAATATATAGATTTAAAAGCTCTAATACCAATTGAGATTTCAAGTGTTCCTCGATAATATCCGATTGACCTAAACTTACTTAACTGTTTATTTCAATTACAAATACTGACTCAATTTTGGTTTAATCAGACGTTAAGCTAGATTTCAAATTTGTGTAGTAAAATAATCAAATGGTAAGAAAATGAACACAAGGGTTTGTTTACCTAGTTTGATGCAATCACATATACGTCTAAAGAACCACCAACGATGGATCCAATTCATTATCTCCAAAGATGTTCAAACCGATAGTAAGAGAACTGTCTCACTAGTGATGTGATATACCCTAGTTTGTATGTACCCAATATGCAAAACACCATAGATGGGTTATAGAGCTCGAAGAACCACACTTTCAGCTATCCGAAGGAGATCGGAGATCCATGTTCCAACTGTCCGACTCAGTGATTCACCCATCGCTCAACCAGAGTTAATGTAACTTAGTTCATCAATGGATATCTTCAGAGAGAGAGAGAGAGAGAGAGAGAGAGAGAGTTCCGAAGAGTATATCTTGTGAATTCTATTAGATTGATGAAATCTTCAATTAATTCTTCATTATCTCTCTATAACTACCTTTTCTAAATGTTTTTATACACTGAAATGAGAGAGGGTAATAACTAATAACAAGATATTTTCTTGTAAATCCAATTACCCTTTCACCCTCAAGGTTTAATTGAGAGAATAGATCTTTAACCGTTAGATCTCTTAGTTAAATAAGGATAGACTTGTAAAACACCTAAGTTAAGATACCTACTTAGCTAGCTGTAAAATAGTTATCAATTAAGGAGTAGATTTTGGACGCCTCTGGTGCAGGTTTTGTTTCACTAGATCTTCAGTTAGCTCACGAACCAGTAGCACTAAGTCCTAATCTACCTATTGTCATAATAATTTGCAGTTACAAAAATGGGGTATACATGCTAAACTCTAACACTTTACCATTTCTACATGGAAAAAAATAGACCCAATTCTCTAAATGGAATTTCTTTTCGTAACGACCACACGATTTCCTCCAACTCCAAATGTCTAACCCTAACCCTTTATATGCTCGTTACCATTCCCCCCTCCACCATAACTCTCTCTCTCTCGAAGCACTAAAATCATCACTCTTAATCCTCCATTTCCATTTCCTATATTTACATGTTTCACATTTTCTATATGAAAAACAAATGGGCCTAATTCTCTAAATGGAATTTGTTTTCGTTGGGCCTCCCAATTTTCTCCAAGTCCAAATGTCTAATCCTAACCCTTCATATGTTCTTTACCATTTCCACCCACTACCTATCTCTCTCCCTCTCTAAACACCGAAATCCTCTGTATCAAGTCTCATCTCACTTTAATCTTCTCTCTCGCCCTCAATCACTTTTGACTCTCGTCTCTCGATTGAAAAACAAGGTGTCTATACATCTATCAACCTGATCTCTTCCATTGTAAACGAACTCCTTAGATTGAGAAGGTGATCTCTAGCCTCATCTCCTTTACTAGCTATAAGGCATGAATTTTTTTTGAAAAGTGTAGATTTATGTTTTCCATTTAGACTACAAAAATTGTTTTCTTTGTAAAGAAATTGAAATTGGGAAAACATTTTCATTTCGAAACATATTTTATTGAATACATTTTTTATATTTCCTAAATTTTGCTTACTTAATACGCTCGATTTTGCATGTTTTTCGGAAATTAAAAGTGAAAAAGATATGTAAACCAATACCAAACTTCAAATAGCTTTTGGATTATTTTTTAAAATTTTTCTCTCTGATCTCTCTCTCTCTATACACACACACACACACACACACACACACACACACACACACACACACACACACACACACACATATATATATATATATATATATATATATATAGGGTCAGGTTTCTGTGAGGTCAGGTCTTCCCATGCGGTCAGTGCGGCATACACCATTAGGTATGCATAAATGCACCACACAGTGTTCGTAAATTCACCATTATTTGTGGTGTATTTTTTTTGTGTGGTGTATTTTTTGGCATTTCATTCTGGTGTATTTTCGAACACTGTATGGTGCATTTATGCATACCTAATGGTGTATGCCGCACTGACCGCACGGGAAGACCTGACCTCACAGGACCCAAAATCTATATATATATATATATATATATATATATATATATATATATGTATGTATGTATGTATAATATGGTTAAATCTACTTATTTTTTAATTTATAAAATATGAAATTAATTGGGATTAAATTCTTTTATTCATAAAGCAATACAATTGTAGTGGTAAATGATAAAAATATCAAGTAATATTGTAGCTATGTAGGTTGTTGTGGCCTTGTGTCTAGGTAGTAAGGTAGATGGAATTAAGTTAGTGAAATAATGGTAAAACAAGTAAAAGAAATATGAATGCAATAAATGCATATGTAGTAATGGGTAAGTAGACAATTGTGGGATATTGACAGTTGGGGATGTATTAAATTGGTAGGTGGTAGTAGGAATAAATAAATAGTTCATGGTGAGTAAAAATGATATGATTATACTAGAGGAAAATAGGAAATAGTGATGGTTGAGGTAGGTAGGTGGTGGTAGTAGATGGTTTGGTAGGTGGGTGAAGATAATGATATAAAAATAAGTAAAGTGAATGTGCATAAGTAAAGATAATGGTGAAATATAATTCCTATCAATATCTTGCTTTTCTATTTCTAAAACTAATCAAAAAATAAATACAAATTCTAAAATATATTTCTTCCTAAATCCAAATAGTGGAATATAATTTCTATTCTATATCTTATTGCTTTTCGATTCTCTCTTGAATATTTAAGGGCTACTTAGTATGGACAAATTTTTTTCCATTACCGTTTCTTACATTTTCATTTTTTATACTCTTTACCTTTTCTACATTGAAATCAAATAAACCGAATGACATTTTTTCTTCGTCGGCCCACCCAATTTCCTCTAACTCCAAATATCTAACCCTAACCCTTTATATGCTATTTACCATTTCACCCTCAAACCCCCCCCCCCCCCCCCACACACACACACACTGTTTCTCTCTCTCTCTCTCTCTCTCTCTCTCTCTCTCTCCTCTCTCTCTCTCTCTCTCTCTCTCTCTCTCTCTCTCTCTCTCTCTCTCTCTCTCTCTCTCTCTCTCTCTCTCTCTCTCTCTCTCTCTCTCTCTCTCTCTCTCTCTCTCTGTTGGTCCCGATAGGGTGGTAAAAAGTCTAGAGGGGGGGGGGGGGTGAATAGACTTTTTAAATTTTTTCATAATTAATAACACATTGGTAATTTCAACTCTAAATAACAAGATATGAAACTTAGATGCGCAGCGGAATAATTTAAACAACCAAGTGTTACGGTAAATCAAAGAGATATATCACATGCAATATTATGGATATGCTTGCAAAGGCTCAAATAATAAGTATGCAAATTTATGCCCACATGCAAACGTGAAATCTACTAGACCGACCCAGATGAATATTTTCGCACAATATAAGATGGGTCAGTCAAATATTCAACATGCAAGACAACAAAATATTTAAAGTGATGGTTCACTAGTGTTTGCATGCACTTGTAAAGTCACATAACCCAAACAATAAGATAAATAAAT